TCTTTAATTACCTTTTTAAGACACTCCAGTTTTCTTTAAATACCAGCATGAAGAAGGCCTTGTCTCTTAGAGGGAGCAAATAATCCCCTGTCATGCGAAAGCATGCTTATGAGAACAAGCCAGGTATGAATTTTCAGAAGACAAACCAAGCTGCACAGAAAAGAGAGCATATGGGAGATGAGGGATGGAGAACAGGTTCTGTAACAAGGGCCCCTGTTCAAAGCGAGTCAGGAGAGGTCTCAGCGGCTAACTCACCAGGTACGTGTTGTACATCAACAAAGCCTTCTCTGTTGAATGAAAGGCTCCTTCATCTTTGCCTCTAACCTCCATTCCTTTCTCACCACAGCACAGGGATTTGCTTTTCAGAGAAGGAAAATCTGAGAACACACTCATTGCTTCTATGGATTCAGAAAGCCACAGAAACAACTACAGCCCAAGCCCTAGCTGTCCCCAGCAGGCCAGAGCCTTCACTACAGCAGATGTAGCATGGGTTTTATGAAAACCCTGTATGAATTTGGTATCTCTGCTTAAGGAGCTGGATGGTTCTTCCTGCTGATACAAACCCTGAGCTCTGAGTCTGCCCTTCAGGAGCTTTTCTCCAAACGTAGAATCTGCAAGCAGTGAAATAAAAGCCTTACTAACGGATTCTTTAGAGCTTTCCACTAATTCAGCCCATGCCTGTGCATATAGCTGGTAGGCAAGGAGCTGCTGCCTGCAAGTACCCAAGCCATCATTAATTATTCCTATGCAGGGGGACAAAGATCACCTGGGACAGAACTGCTAACCAGTTAACAACCAGGAGAAGCCATCACCACAGTTTCATTGAGCTGGGCAAAGTAATAGATGAGACACATAGCTCTTTCAATCCTCCTCTCAGATATGGATGAGTACTCCTATCAAGTTTTAAGTCTAAACTGTGAAAGAAGCTATCATTTCACACTTTTTTCTCCTCATTTCAGTACATCGTTACCTTCTTTTCATATTTCCCCTACCTCTCCCAAAAGCAGCAGGAA